CTAACGTTCTGTGATTCTGTGATTCCTTGGAATCCTTCCAGAATTCTCCCAGTGCTGCAAAACAAGGATATTTAGAATTGTGCGTCTTACTTTTTTTGTCAACTCTGAAGATTTTATCTTCAAAACTTAAAAAGGCAAAAAAAAATTTTAAAACTGAATTTGGAGAATGTTGGTTCTTCTCTGCTCTCCTGTTTTGCATCACAGGCAGCAATAGCAAAGACCAGTAGGCTGCCCAAGATCAGTGTAGAAACTCTGTAAAGAGAGGCAAGAAGACCACAGCGGAGCTCACAGAAGTGGTGGAACACGGACATTTTTCATTGTCCCTTTCAGCATAGTACTACTTTCCCAGATCTTCCAGAGCACATGCAAAGACTTAACTAGAGTCCTCTTAATGTTGGGCTAAGTCAATGCTACCTTCCTTCCAAAGCAACCAAGTTAAAAAAGAGATCGTTGCCCTCAGTGGACATGGAGTCAGAAGATCCATAATATAATTGTGAACAGGTGACAGAACATACTTCTCTGTAGGCTGTTTTCCTGTGTCATCCCAACTACTGGAATAGTACAGTTCCTGAAATTGGTCTGTGTCTGCACACATGCACACACATTCTGTTTGGATCATTTGTTTCCAGTGGTGTTGATGAACCTTTAGTTTCATGGCAGCAGTTCCTTTCTCACCACGAACAGGAAGTTTAGGATGAAGTAATTCAGGTCTCTCTTCTGTGCATGTTCTCTTCCCTCCCATCAAAATTTTGCAGGAGAAGGTCCCAAAATGGCTGTTGTTTCCTTTAGAAAAAACACCCAGGAATTACCTGCTTGCAGAATCTCTTTTGCAATCTTTCTTTAATGTAAATCTGCTCTTCTTGGGCACTTAGTCTTCACTGTTTTAGCTCAACATTGCCAAAAGTATATTGCTCACAACCGTCTAATTTGGTACAGTCTGAAAACCTTTTCTGGCACAAGTTCATCTTCAGTCTCCAAGTGAAATGTTAGTAGCTGATGCTTTAAGCAAGATACTTTACGTTCTCAGGAGCCTGCCGTGACCTCCTTAGTGCAAGGACGTAAGCATACCAGCTGAGGTAGGGTTCCTGCCAAACTGTGTTAGAGAAGAATAACATCACTTAGACTAGGTTTAGGTACACCAGTCTCAGCTTCAAATGTAACGGATGCAGAGAGTATTGTGAATGCCTGTGCTCAATACAGAGGCAATTAAGGGATGGGAAACTACATAAAGTGTACTTTAAAGTTTTTTTTCTACAGTGACTAACAAGATGCTGTCTTGGAGTTGATGTATGTGAGAGTTATTTTTGGTTTTGTTTTGTTGTGGGGTGTTTTTTTAACTAGGCAATTATCTTTAAATAAATTTTCAAAGTAGCATCTAATAAACTTTGAGGTATTTTTAGACGCTCCTTGGAAAGCAGCAATAACTTTCTCCTCTTGTAAACTGTTTTAAAAATAAACTTACGGAGCAATACACAAGTTTTGGCTTAGCTGTTATAATTTGACTATTTCAGACTGCGATGCAACACATTGTCTTAGGTACTTTGATTCCAGATGAGTTGTGCCATTCGAAACAAGTAAATTCAGCTTAACAGAGAGTGAGAGAAATATCTCTATTATAAAAGAGTAAACATTTTCTTCTTCTTTTTCCTGTCAGAACTCAGTATTATTAAATTTATTAATTTATTTTAATACTTGTGTCAGTCTATTAACTTAACATACTTGCAGTTTTTCCTACCTTGCTGTAAGACAACTTTGAGATGCTCACTTTTCCTTTTCTATAATGCAGGTGCTCCAAGCGGTGATTTTCATGTAAGCTGATGTACTGTAGGATTACCGTGTTTCAAGAGGGAGCTAGAGAGCTATGAAATAATAAAACCTCAGGAACTGTGTGTAACCTTCTGTTTTTCAGATTAATAAAAATAACCTGTAAATGTTTTTCCCATTTCCACTTTGTTTTTCAGGTGTCTATTGATGGAAATGACAGTGTTAGTGGCACAGGAATGATAGGTGAAAATGAACAAGATAAAAAAATGCAGGTATGTAGCCCAATACAAAATAATTTAATGTATCTGTTTCTTCTGTCTTCTCTGCCCAGCGATGTGCATGTCCTGTGTAGCCATGCTGCTACCCTTCAGGAATTTTTGATCTCAAACCTATACCGATAGGTTATATTTCTCACTTTATATGAGATCCTTTCAAAGGATTTTAAAATGATCTTGCAATGCTTACTGTTTTCTGGGGTTTTTCTGTTAAAAGGTAATGAAAAACAATGTAGGATTTCTAAGGTTTTTCAAGGTGACCGGAGTATTTCATTGATAATGGTGGAAGTTTTTCAGAAGTTCTTTTCCAGAGAATGAATGGACTTTTTATAGTCCTAAAAGCAGAAGGAATGCTGCTTCGATTAATGAACTATTTGCTTGTCAAGAGAGACAGTTCCAGGCATTTGTGTGGAATGGTTCTGTCTTTGGTAACTTATTTTGATTCCACCTGCCCTGTTGAAGTCCCTGACTTTTATTGCTGTTTTTTTTAAGTAATCAGTAGATAAGAGTGTGGCTCCTAGTGAACACTTACAGAAGCAAAAAAAATACTTCCATTTCTTTTTCTGTATTTGTTTTGTCACTGCATAGAAATATAAAAACCTTTTCAATGTGAAAATATTAACTTAAAATTTCAGAGGACAATGGAAAATACAGGTGCAGCTTATTAAGTCTTAAGCTTTTTTTACCTGGGATCCATAAAATTATGTAAGGAGAAAGGTATTTGTCATAACGTATTTTATTAAAGGAAAGGCAAAGCAAAACGTATTCTGTGCTTCAAAGAGTTGTGACCAACAACAAAAATAATAATAAAACCCTTACAAACTCACATGTTCAAATGACAGAATCAAAAATCACAGAATCACAGAGTATGAGGAGTTGGAAGGGACCTCGAAAGCTCATCCAGTCCAACCCCTGCCAGAGCAGGATCACCAGAGCAGTCACACAGGAACACGGCCAGGCGGGTTTTGAATGTCTCCAGAGAAGGAGACTCCAGTCAGAGAAGCCCTGGTTTTCCTTTTCGTTTAATTTAAGAGATAGGCAAGGACGAAAAATACCTTCCAAGGTAAAATATGATATCTGTGAAAAGAATTACAGGCTTACGTCTGACAGTTGCTTCAAAACTTTCTATTCTTAATTTCTTTTAAAAGCTAAGTCCCACAATATTTAAAGCCGTGGACACTCCATTGTGTGGCATGACTGTGAAAGGAGAGAATAGCTAATACATGCATTATTTATGGTATATAATGTATATATGAAATATATTCCATAAAATGAAATCAATAGATTTAGAGGTTTTGCACACTTGCAGGTTGCAACAAAATGCAAAATTCAAGGAAAAGTGAGATAAGTTCTTGGTTGGTTTTACCTGAAAGTAAGAGCCTATTAAGCAAAATGACATGTAACCAGCATCCACTTACATGTTGATTTCAGCCTCAGCCCCAAAACCAAAGTGAATCTGGGAGACTGTCTTTTCTTACAGATGTATGACAACGTAATAGGCAGATGGCATCCTGGGGTGTATCAGGAGGGAGGTGGTTAGTAGGTGGAGAGAGGTTCTCCTCCCCCTCTGCTCTGCCCTGGTGAGACCGCATCTGGAATATTGTGTCCAGTTCTGGGCCCCTCAGTTCAAGAAGGACGGGGAACTGCTGGAGAGAGTCCAGTGTAGGGCTACAAAGATGATGAAGGGAGTGGAGCATCTCCCTTATGAGGAGCGGCTGAGGGAGCTGGGTCTCTTTAGTTTGCAGAAGAGGAGACTGAGGGGAGACCTCATTCATGTTTATAAATATTTAAAGGGTGAGTGTTACGAGGATGGAGCCAGGCTCTTCTCGGTGACAAACAATGATAAGACAAGGGGTAATGGGCACAAGCTGGAACACAGGAGGTTCCACTGAAATTTGAGAAGAAACTTCTTCTCAGTGAGGGTGACAGAGCACTGGACCGGGCTGCCCAGAGAGGTTGTGGAGTCTCCTTCTCTGGAGACATTCAAAACCCACCTGGATGCCTTCCTGTGCAACCTCATCTGGGTGTTCCTGCTCCGGCAGGGGGATTGGACTGGATGAGCTTTTGAGGTCCCTTCCAATCCCAGACGTTCTGTGATTCTGTGTATGCCATATGGAAATATGCGTTATGGAGCATTATATGTTCCACACAAAAAAAAGGTCTGATATTTCAAAAGGTATTGAGGCTTAGTGTCAAATTCTGACCCCCATAAGGTAACTTCAGGTGGCCAACTGGAAGGTCCTAAAGCTATCAGTTATCCATGAAAACCTTCATCATGTTTCTATCTTCATCTAAGTAGATACATAGAGTGAAGTAACTAACTCATTCTGAAATAGTACATTACTTGGGATAAAACAGTCTTATATTTAGATATAGTATTAAATAAGTGTGTGTTTATAAACTTTTTAAGTCCCCAGGTAACTCAAGAACAGAACAGATGTCACGCTGCTGAGTAGTCATTCAGACTTGCTTGTGGTTACGTTCTTAACCAAAGAAGAAGCATAAAACCTCTTTGTGATTCGGACATGTGAAAACAGAAGGCCGCGTGTGCCCAACTGGATATCACACACTGTTTCCTTTCAGACCTGTCATCCCCATCTGTTCATAATAAAAGCAGAATCATATGACTGAAGTTTATATATGTATATGATATAAAAATGTTACCTGAGATCTTTGTTCTGTGTTACCAGTCTGAACTCAGGATGCATTTGTGATTCCTTTTAAAATCAGGGTTTTAAAAAGATTTGTCTGTTTAAAAGTATTTTGAAGTACACAGTTCCTCTTAACAAGTTTCATATTGTTATAAAGGTGCTTTATTTGCTATGTTGTTCTTATTTTGTACCTCCTAGCATCTGAATCTTTTAGTTTCTTTATAGTGTATTACCTTCAAATGACCGTGATGTTCAACCTTTTTTGCTACATGTTCTGTTTGTTTTATTTCCCTCCTCACTTGTATCAGTCTTAATATTGGTAAAATTACATCTGGTTATGTCCTTACAGGTATTACCACGTAGGTTGTAGAACTGTTTTAATTTTCTTTTAAACTTAGGCAAACTTCAGCTTTATAGTGGATCTTAGCAACTACGTACATATTTTTAGATGCTGAAATAACAAAGAAACACTAGCAGGTTTACTGACAGAAAAACAAATCAAGCTTAAGTGCAGGTGCTCAACCAAGCATCTTCGTGATCCTTAATGTATTAAAGTGATTTCTGTGATTCATGATGTCGTAGGTTAAGCAATAACATTAGTCATGGGTTTCTTGATTCATGAGGTTGTATTTTTCTCCATGGTTTCAGAGCAGGTTTTCTGAAGTGCAGAGTTGCCCATTTCAGTTCCTGAAAAATCTCATACTCGGCTTTGCATCTCTAGTCTTATAAACAGTCTGAAGGTAACAAGGGGCATCCTGCCTGAAGAATCCATAGGAAAGTTGTTCTCAATCAAATTTCTGATCTGTCTGAATGTGGAATTAGAGGTCTATGCGCAGTTGCAGAACTACAGTCTCATGGGGATGAGGGAGGTGTGGTGGGGTAGTTCAGGTGACTGGAGTGCTGTGCTGGAGGGGTACAGGCTCTTTGGTAAGGCCAGGCAGTGCAGGAGAGGAGGAGGAGGTAGCCTTCATGTAGGACTGCAGGACTGCATGGGGCTCTGCTGTGGGATGGGTGATGAGTCGGTCAAGAGCCTGTGGGTCAGAATTAGCTGGCAGACAAGTGTGGGTGGTGGTGTGGTGGCTGTCTGCTACAGAGTGCCTGATCAGGAAGAAGATGAGGCTTTCTTCAGACAGCTGGAAGAAGCCTCATGTTCACAGGCCCAGGGCCTCTTGGGGAGTTTTAACCACCTCAGTATCTGCTGGAAGAGCATCACAGCAGGGCACGTAAAATCCAGGAAGTTTCTGGAGTTCAGGGATGGCAACTGGCAACCTAAAGCAGGTTACTGAGCAGCTGGTGAGGCGAAACACTTTGCTGGACCTCATACTTACCAAGAAGACTTAGTTGGGAATGTGAAGGTGGGAGCAGCCTTCAGAAATCTCCATCCTTGGAGGTACTCAGAACACACGTGGATACTGCTGTGAGCAGCCTACTGTGCTGCAACTGACCCTGCTTTGAGCAGGGAATGTTGGACTGGAAGATCTCCAGAGGTGCCTGCCCACGTCATCTGTTCTGTGAAGTGTTCTTTTGACAATTCAAAATAGAACTGGAGCTGTAAGGAAAAGGGAGTGGTTTAAAAGCAGGATAGACTTTTCAAAATAGCCTTGATTACTTTGCATACACAGCTGTATCAAAATGTTTACGTTTGGGCTTCTGCCTCTTTCTTCAGTCTGTATGAATGTTTCTTGCATATTAGTGTATGAAGCAGCCTTTAAAAGGGGTCTAAGTTGCATCGCAAAGCTATTCTGTACATTTTCCTGTAGTGCCATTCCAGAAAGGAGAGTGGAACCTAGCTCAGATTGCTCCAATTAGTTTGATCAGAACACACACATCACTGACAGATTGCTTTCCTCCATTTTCAAAAAGTGCTTATTACAAGTGCATTTAATTATTGTTTGGCCTTTGCATGAACTTGTCGTTGAAGGTGGTCTGATTTATGGCTAATCTCCCTCAGGAATGGATCCAGTGCCTTAGATGTAATCTGAGCCTCTTCAGTCTGCTAATTTGGTCGTTTTACTGCTGGGCTTATATTTCAAATTATTTTGTCTTTATTGTTATTTGGCGAATTAATGCATGCATACAAATTTGCTAACTACAAATAAATATGGTTTACAGCTTCTCTCATCAGAATTTATGCTTTTTAGTTATTTATTCTTAGTTTATTTATTGAGGACTAAGAAATACATGGCCTAGCAAAGAGAGACAAACCCATTGGAGTGTGCTCTGGCTTGATAGCGATATAAAGTGTGTGATTTCTCTGATACATTGTGTTGGGTTTTTTTAATTGTGTTGTTTTGTTTTTTTTAACTGAAGATTGTCTTGCAAGGACACGGAACAAGAGTGACTGCAAAATCTCAGCAGAGTGGAGAGAAAGCCTTTCGCTGTGATTACGATGGCTGTGGAAAACTGTACACAACAGCTCACCATCTTAAGGTGATAAGATGCTAAATGAGCATTGGTACTTCACAGGCAGGATTTTTTTGACAGACTATGTGGTTAAAACTAACAAACTAACAGAGAGCCAGTCGCAGTGATTTTGTTTTGTCGAATGTTTATTGGATTTATGTTACAGTAATTGGCTGTCCTAGGTGCTCAGCTGATTTTGTTTAGTGTTCTGGATAGATGCAGGTGTGGGATCATGTTAGGCTCCTATACTGCCAGCATATAATAAATACCTTATTGAAATAGTTTCTACCAGCAGTGTCACAGAAATTCTGAAATCCAGCGTTCGCTTTCTCTGCTTTACATGTATGCATGGACATGCAAAAATTCAGGTGGTTTTTTTAAAAGATTTAACCATCATAACACAAAGTCTAACTCTTCAAAACAAACCAACATTCAAAGCAAGAATCTGGAACGTCTTTTCTTTACAGGTGCTAACTCCTTAATTCTCTTCTCAAATATGTGAAGGAATTACAGAAACAGTAAGGGTATGGAGCTGTTCACATTTCAGCTTAGGCTGAGATAATCACTTGCCAATGAGGGAAACTCCTTGCAGCATTGCCTTGTCTGTGACAAAACACTCTGGAGTCAGTGAGTAACTGGCTCTCTGGATCATGTGTTAAAATGGTGTCCTTGCTGTAGAGGTTTCAAGCAATATAAGAGGATCCTTAGAAGCACTCAGTGGACTCAAAAATCAGATAATGAGTGGGCTCTGAGGCATATTTGCATTCTGTCTTTAATGTTGCATGATGGCAACTCTTCGTGTATTTACAGAGAAGTTTTTTGCAAAACTGACTGAAAGGATCGGGCTAAACTTTGGAAGGAGACACCTTTAGTTTTAGGGAAAACATCATTATTATGTATCGTTATTTTTCATCACTGATTTTAAAAGAAGACACTTGAATCTGAATCTTAGAAATAAAATACGTTGTCTTTAAGAATGAAGTGTTTCTGTGTTGGAGTAATCAGCGACAACGTTTCATTAAATCTTGACAGGTTCACGAAAGGTCACACACAGGAGATAGACCGTATCAGTGTGAGCATCCCGGATGTGGCAAAGCCTTTGCAACAGGTAATCTTTTGTAGGCCAACTCCTCCTGCTTGTTAGTGTTAGTATAAAGTAAGTTTTTGATATTGTCTCTTTTAAGAACTGCTAACTAAAGAACTTGGTTGGGAGAACTGCAAAAGAAAAGAGTAATTTCAGCTAGCATAGCATATAGGAAGGACAGAGGATTTAACTCTTTGTTACTGAAGGAGGAATGATTTTATGTTGCAAAAATAGGCCTTTCTTAACATGAAACTAACTGTATAATTTAAATGAGGTGATAATAAGAAGCTGAACCTGTTGGCTAGACGTAAATACCTGATCTTCTGTTCCAGATTTGAAAGGAACATTGATGGAAGATGCTGTTTTAAGTGTTCTTTATTGAGTTTGTATCAGAGTGACATTTCTCATGAAGCGAACTCTACATTTTGTACAGACTACTCTGTTCATAAATGATGCTGTCCCTGAGGTTGAATTTTATAATGCAAAATGCAATTATGAGCAATGAAACATAGAGGACTTGTTGCAAACTGTATTATTTTACTTTGAATATAAATTAGTATGATGTTTAGAAAAGTTAGGCTCTATTTTAAAAAAAGGCATTGGAAAAATAACTGCTTTTGATCTAATACATTTAATACTGTTTCTTTGAATAAAAGCAAGTAAAAGAAATGCTGATGAGAAAGGTCAAAAGGGACACAAACCACACTTAAAGGGTTGCACCTAAGTTTAACTGCATAGTGTTCGTAAAGGTATTTCAAAACGAAATGAAATATTTGTTGCCTTACAACAGACTGATGTATGGTTATAAGCAGCTGTTGTCTATTAATACCATGTCTTTGGTCAGAGCCATTGTACCAGTGTAATGCAGCAATCCGTGTCTTTGATAAAGTTCATTTTAAGTTCTTAATGCTCTTGGTTTAAATACAAAGAACTCTTCTGGGTTGGATCATGAAATTGAATTTATTTTAGATATAAGAATGAATGAATGCTCAACTTGGTAGACATGATTTGTGTTTTTAAAAAGCATCAAGAACAGGAATTTCAGCAGTTTTAGGGAAACAAAATTTTCACTGTGCAGTGAAAGCAGGTGCCATCTTCTTACAGACTGATACTTTATTTTGTAGAAATACATGCATCACTTGTGGACACAAATAACATTCAAGTTCAGTTTCTAAAATGGCTGTTTCAGGGTTCTTTAGTCATGATCTTTTCAGGGAAGTGCAAAAAGGAAAATTTTGGTAAAATGCTCTTTGCAGTTTACAGAGGGCCTGACCCAAAGCTCGCTTTAGGCTGGTAGAGTTTTTGACAATGATGAGTTCCTAAGAGTAATCTTTAAAGGGAATGAGTGTCCATGACTGCCATCAGCTGGCACCTGTATGTGTGATGGTGTTAATCATAGGGTTTAAAATGAGAGCCTGCATAGCAGTAGAGCTTTTGCTGCTGACTTCATTAATGGTGTTGATTTTTGTATGAGCAAATAATTGAATGTCATTTTGATGACAGTAGAGGTAAGAGGTAAGAAGTAGAATACACAGCATAGAGCTTCCTCAGAAGGCAGAAGAAATATTTGTCCACATTATAATTATTACAGTTTATCTTTTGGAAGGGAAGGAGAAGCATTATGGAAGTATACTTTATTCATAAATGAAGGATGAAAGCATTTGTAAACTCAAGATGGAGTTGTGCTGCTCTGTATGATAGAATAAAGAGCTTGTGAAGAGTGAAAGTGCAAATTTTACTCATCAGGGAGCTCCTGATTGGAATGGCAAGCGCAGCTTTTGATGGTGATGGTTTATGAGTATCCTAAGTTTGTGTTTATATTATTATAACATCCTGTCTGATCTTCAGGTTATGGGTTAAAAAGTCATGTCCGAACACACACTGGTGAAAAGCCTTATCGATGCACAGAAGAGAATTGTACCAAATCATTCAAGACTTCAGGAGACCTGCAGAAACATATCCGAACCCACACAGGTACTATTATTACCCTTTTTTTTTTTTTTTGTTAATTCACTTAGGTGGATTTTTTTTCTCTGATCACTCTGTGACTTTATACTTACGAAATCAGCCTGTGTATATTCTCTTTCTGAAGCCCAGTGAGCTCAACAGCATTTCAGCATGGTAAGCATTTACTGCAAAACCAGCATGCTTTTCTTGGGAAAAGTGCTTAAGCGTTCACACTGCTATAGCAAATGCAATGACTTTTCACAATGCATCACTTACATTGTCACTGAGTCGCTTGGTGCCTTCACAGATTTGTTTGCAGCTGTAACAGAACGAGAAACTTTTCCTCAATAATATGGCTCGCCTTTTAGAAATTGCATCAGTGTTCTTAAGTTTTCATGCTTTAAGATAACTTGCATGCCAGCTTCATGAAGGTTGATAGTTCCTAGCTTCTTGTTATCCTGATTTCTCTTCTCTTCTTGCAGCAGAAAAATGAACAAAAATATAATAGGAAATCAACTGTTACTAAAATTTCTAAATGCACTAAAAAAAAATAAATCTTACGTTTTATCTAAGAAAATATTCATATGAAAGCCAGAACACAAACAAATTCTAGACAGCATACTCTACGCTCTGCAAAGCTCTATGGGTGCACACACGTGTAAACAAGCTTGCACAATGTCTCCTTTGCCCCCGAGATTAAATATATTAAATATATATATATAAAAATATAAACCCAATAATTACTTGCTAACCTATTCAATTAAGTATATTTACTTGCCTGTTAGAACACTGACAGGTTTTTCCACTGAATGTTCTGAATTTTAGAGATTAAAAAATTTTAACAGAAGAACAAAAAGAAATGGGGTTTTCTCAGGTTAAAAAGAACAATGGGAGGTATAAAAAGAGGCAATAAAAACTGCAAAAACTCAAGATTACATTGAGTTAATTCTGCTTTCCTGGACTTCTGTATTCAAAGACAGTTTGTTGGGATTAATGCTATCTTGATGTTAAATCAGGAGGAAGATATGAAAGCGTCATCTGTTTTCAGCTCTAGAAGAGAACTGTTTGACATGATGTAGTACATCAAGTACAGACTATGAACTGAAAGATTTCTGTGGTGTGGGCAACAACTTGATCAACTGTAGACAGTTTTCTTTACTTCTTTCTGGCCATAGAAGTTGTATGGTAATTTAATTGCTTTAATCTTAATTCAACAGTTGAGACAGAATACCTGAGCCAGCCCTATGTAACCACTTACCCGTCTGAGCAATATTAATAATACAGTCATAGACTCCCAGCAGTCCAGGGACTGGCGTTCAGGGGTGTCTTTTAGATTTATGAGTAGTTGCAGGAAGACAAAGAATTGGAGGAAAATTGAACCGGGTCCTTTGTGCAGATGGGGTGGCGTTAGTGTATGCTCATACCCTGTGCAGACTGCAGCAGTGCACCAGATGGAGGCAGATCTGGGCTCTGCCCACTCTCTGCAGCGGCTCTGAAACCTTTTCGTTCCTTTTATCATGTAGAGCAGGGCTAGTGCTTTCTTCATTTCCTGCCTGTTTTAGCCAAAAGTGATTTTCCCCTCTTTTTAGTGGCGGTCCAGTCTCACTTTTTATTGCCATCAAATGCTCGCCCTCTGGTTCCTCCATGACTTCCCTAGACATACAGAATAGTATCCGGAATAGTATGTCTAGGGAAGTCATGGAGGAAAAAAGCTGATGTGTCAGAAAAGCCACTGTGGATGGTTTCTCATAGTTGCAACGGGGTAGAGCTTGAAGGCTTCTGACTTGCTTCACATTTCTAGTGCTAGAAATGTCAGTCACCTGGAAACCGGTCCTACATTAGAAACTGAAAAGGCTGACTTCACCAACCGGTCGGATGACATTCTTGCGGGCATTCTTTGAGAGCAGTCTGTTTTGGTTTCTAATGCGGGGCCTGTTGTTCGGCGGGGTGGACTCTGCAACCCTGCTCCTTTCAGGCATGATTTGAGGTCCTGTGCTGAAGCAAGGATTAGGGGAGCCATGGTAACACAACACTGAGGTGTGTGGCTTCATACACACACGGTGCCTTGGCAGGAAGCTGAAAACCCTTCCCGAAACCGCTGCTCTAAAGAGTGAATTACAGTTTCCTCTGCCAAGCAGCTAACTACTTTGGAGTTTTGTGGTATTAATGTCTCTATCAGGACTTTGCTTTTTATTTCTGTCTCTAAGTACTTAATGTTGTATCCATAGTGGTAATCTGCCCTTTCGCTCTCAGACTCTTCTCTTTGGTAAGCACTGCAGTGGGTGGAATGTACTTAGCTCTAGGAAGAGTGAACTTACAACAGTACAACATGTCAGGTGGCTCATACTTCTTCCGAGTTAACGGCCTTCACTCTCCCCCTCTGTGTGCGTCGATAGATCTGAAAGATTGGGATATTGAGGTATTAGACGTGGGTTGGCCTTATTGAGTGTTCCTGGTGAAATATTCTGGTGCAAAGATTGAAGTTACTGTGCTTAAATTTGTATTACATGAATAGACTTATTGTAAAAAGAATATGTATTTGTGATCGCTTTGGTATTGGGGTTTGAAACTTGAGTTTCAGGGCTGTGTCTTTAAAGAGTTGGTAATCCTTGTCTAAGGTTAAGTGCTTTCTATAAGGAATTTTGCCAACCCATTTGTGTCTTGATTATATGCTAAATCATGAAGGTATTCTTTTCATTTTATGAATTATAATTGACATATGCAAATGGAATGATACACTTGTTTTGGATAATATATGTATGAACTGAGGGAGTGTGTTAAATACTTGTTAGAGTGTGGACAATGTGGAAGCTAATCCAAGCAACTGAGTCTCTTTTATACATCAGAAAGTACTAATCTGAATGCTTCATAATTTAGTTTACAGATTGTATTTTTTCCTGAATTTTGCCAGTTTTGGCTAAACAGTAAAACACGGTGGCATGTTCATGGCATTTCTGACTGAGGGTCTCAAAGACAGAATTAGGTAGCTTTCAATTCCTACATTCGCTTTAAAGGTAACTTAAGATTGTTATTCTTTTATAACTTTTGCATGTGTACCTTTTATTTTCCTTTCTTTTTCCAGGTGAAAGGCCCTTTAAGTGTCCATTTGAAGGATGTGGCAGGTCATTCACAACATCTAACATTAGAAAGGTTCACATCAGGACACATACAGGCGAAAGGCCTTATTACTGTACAGAGCCAGGATGCGGGAGAGCTTTTGCCAGTGCAACTAATTACAAGAATCACGTGAGAATACACACAGGTATATGAGTGATGGTTTGTATTTTGAAGTGGAATCTGTCTGGGAGAGGCTGTGTCGTTCTCCTTGTGACCTCTGTTTTGGTGCATTGTAATTTGGTGTAGTCACAGAATCACAGAATGGCTCGGTTGGAAAAGACCTCTGAGATCATCACGTCCAACCGTTCCTGCCTACCCACTAAACCATATCCTTAAGTACCTCATCTACCCGCTTTCTAAATACATCCAGGGATGGTGACTCCACCACCTCCCTGGGCAGCCTGTTCCAGCTTCTGACGACCCTCTCAGTAAAGAACTTCCTCCTTATCTCTAACCTGAACCTCCCTTGGCACAGCTTGGTGCCGTTTCCCCTTGTTCTATCCTCCATCACCTGGGAGAAGAGACCAGCACCCACCTCTCTACAACCTCCCTTGAGGTAGTTGTAGGTGGTGATGAGGTCTCCCCTCAGCCTTCTCTTCTCCAGGCTAAACAAGCCCAGTTCCCTCAGCCACTCCTCATAAGGCTTGTTCTCCAGACCGCTCACCATCCTCGTGGCTCTTCTCTGAACACGCTCCAGAATCTCAACATCTTTCTTATAGTGAGGGGCCCAGAACTGAACACAGCACTCGAGGTGTGGCCTCACCAGTGATGACCTGGCTTGGTACTTTTATGTGGGGCTCAACTCAGCTGACAATAAATAGTTTCACAGTCAGGTTTCCCACCTTGCTGTGAAGACAGAATAATTTTTGCTTGGATACGAAGTTCTTTAAAACAAATGCAAAACCTTGTCTCCAGTAGCTAAATTCTTAATATGGTTCTGGGGCATGCCTCCATTGTGAGCTGTTTCTTAAATAAATAACAGTAAAGCATAAGTCTGAGCTTGACTTTTACTAACTTCTGTGAGTCACCCTTTCATCCCAGCTGTATTTTCCTTGCTGCTGGAGTGATGGTCAAAACCTTCTTTTTAGAGACTGGAGGTGAAACTCCTTACCCAACTTGGTTGTCAGGTTTAGTCAGCAGAAGGAATCAGCAAAAATTCAAAGGTTCTGAAATGTGAAAGCCAGCGATAGCAGTATCACCTTGGTAGCCTTCTATATTTTATAGAAGCACGGTCAAGTTTCACAGAGGTATGTTTTGTATCTCAGGTTATCCTTTTAGTTTATAGTGTAATTTGGACAATTGTTTCATTGATTTTTAAATGAAAGGTGTTTTTTATATGAAACCATAATTAAATCATTAACACATGCTTCTTGTAGATTTCTTCAGAGCTTTAGTACTCAGAAGTAAGTGAAATTGTACTAGTGTATAAACATGCTGGATCATTGAGGAAGAGTATGGGGCTTCCAGTAATAAGAAAATTCAATACGATGCCAAACTGACATTGTAGCTTTCAGCCTCTATCATTCTGTCTTCATCAGAAGGATGTTTTGGATTGGAATGATAGGGAGAAAAAAGGACCCAACTTTTACTGGCAGTAGTTTTTTAAAAGAGATAGAGGCTGCATTGATAAACTTTTTGAGCTTGAGCTTCACTGTTGTCTTTGAAATTGAAGCATGGCTGGTACTGAGGTGTGTCACTAAACAGAATTTGTTGACAGTTTTTTCTGTGCTTCCTGGATAACGTTCTCTTTATCCCTTTTGTTTTTCCTTACAGGGGAGAAGCCCTACGTCTGTACAGTTCCTGGTTGTGATAAACGTTTTACAGAGTATTCCAGTTTATACAAACATCATGTTGTACATACTCATTCCAAACCATATAACTGTAATCACTGTGGGAAAACATACAAGCAGATTTCTACACTTGCTATGCATAAGCGGACAGCACACAATGACACAGAGCCTATTGAAGAAGAACAAGAGGCATTTTTTGAGCCACCACCAGGTTAGAGTTTCAGTCTTTGAATCTCTTATTAAAAAATGGGCGAGAGAATATTTTGCTGTCTTTTATAAGCAGGGAAATGAAACCATGGGTAAAAATCTGAAGGACTTACTGAAGTTATTGAACTCTTTGTAGGACTTTTTAGTGTGGTAGGCAACTTGTAAACAGAAACTGAGGGAGTCATTGACCACATCATAAACTCCTTTACAGCAGTCCTGCGGATAACAGAGAAATGTGAGTTGCAGTCCCAGGAAACCGGCTATAAACATGAATGCAGGGGCGTGAGAGCATCTCAATTGTTTATGTTTGCAACCGACTGGATTTTTCACAGGGATTTTTCACAGGGATTTTTCTAAGAGTGTGTATAACACCATGGTTGGTGACAGTTTCTGTGCAGGAGTAAAGGCACTGCCTTGAGAAGAAGAGAATCTGTCTTTGCAGCACCCTGATACTGTGGTGGCTTTGCTGCAGTTAATAGCAGTTTCTGTAAACTGTCCTAGAGGCAAAGATGAAAATAAGCTCATGTGCTGCAGTTTTCCTTAAAATATGTTTTTCATGGTATCTTGAGTATTGAATCCTACAGCTATAAAAGAGCAGACTGAAGGAATTACTTTGACAGGACAAGTATCAGTTGTCAAATTGTTATTTTTAGATGCGACTGAAGATAGGAAATACGCAAATGCTTTTGGTCAGAAAAGTTATTTTACTAACATTTTTTTTAAATTGCACTGGATGCCTCAAGCAGATTTGCTGTAGTCTGATTTATTCTTTTAAGGGAATGTTAAGAGTCCTCTGCTGAGGTTAAACATTTATTAAGACAATGAACTTACTTAAATTTTCACACAAAAGCATCACTGTGTTCTTCTGTATGTTTGTTAATTAATAACTCTCTTAAAAAGCTGCCAGTTGTGTTTGCATGGAGCCTCTTGTATGGAAAGGTTAACATTTAATGGATGAATTATAGAAACTTTTGTCACCATTTTAATATTTGCTCATAAAGTAAATGTATATTTTCTTTATATATAGTTTTTATGCATGTTAAAACTCAATGCTAAAAGATTATACCCCTTTTTTTCCAAAACAACAGACTTTCTGACTTTTGGTATCTTTCCTCCTTTTATTTTTCTCATCTTTTCACTCAAATTTTTCCACTGGAGTGTTCAAAACCTTCAAACCAGGCAGGCACTTTATCCTTGTCATTTGCTTTCCTGGCAGCGTTTAGAGTATGTAACTGTCCTCCTGCTTCCTTTGTATCGAACAGGACAAGGTGAAGACGTTCTCAAAGGCTCCCAGATAACCTATGTGACAGGTGTGGAGGGCGAAGATGTAATATCTGCACAGGTTGCTACAGTTACTCAGTCGGGATTAGGTCAACAAGTAGCACTAATATCCCAGGACGGAACGCAACATGTAAGTAACTACAGTGTTCAAGAGCTGACAAAAACATGTTGAGAATTGAGGCAGGTGTTTGCAGATACTCCGTGCACTTTCTAAAGTCAGTTAGGATTCTTGATAAATACTTACGAGGGTTTCTTAAGGAAAGAAGCTGTTTTGGAGCTGGGTCAGGATATGTTTAAGGTTAGGGCTCCTGTGGAATACTTAAACAACGTATTCTGACATCTGAAACTGTATTCATACAAAGCTAGATCTTTTTGGCTCTTGTTATCTTTGTCACTCGTAAAGTAGGCATGGGCTATGTTAACACGTTACATACACAGCCTGGTTTCTGAGGTTTCTTAGAACCCCCTGATTATTCTGTTAATATTTGATGGTCATCTTCACTGCTCTCTTGTCTGCACACACTTCTGGGGGTTGGGAAGTCTTTCTGGTCCAGGTGCCTGCTTTACAAGCTGTTTAGTAGTGCGCAGTCCTTACCATTTCTAACGTAAGCAAGAGGATAAGTTATGCTTTGATACTACCTCCACCTGAAAGTTTCTAGTTTTTTAAGGATTCCTGCAGATGTATTTTTTTAAGTACTCCCATGGATATATTTTTTTAAGGATTTCATATGAAATTTCATTGGGAGGGGATTTCAACACAACTCTTGCGTTCGGCTATGGCAGTGTATTGAAGTCATGTGGAGAAAAGTTTCTGTCTTGGCTGGAAAGGTAGCTGAAAACCCAGTAGGATATGAAAGGTATCTTCTAAATTCAAATTGGAAATGAAATATTAAAGGGGGCTGTTATATTGCCAGCCCTGAACATTGCAGCAATACTAAGGAACTGTCATTTTTACCCTCTAAAATGAAGGCCTGCAAGAAGCCTTGACAAGTTCTTGCATTTATTTAAGTTACCATTCAGCTTGACTTCAGCTCTGGGATGTTTTATTGTGTTGTAAATCAGCCATCAAATCACGTATCTGATGCCCTAATGCATTTATACTGGAGACATCAGTAATTTATATAATGAATTTTTTATGAATTGTTTATTTATGGTTTAAATTCTAGGCCCTCACAGGCTTCTCTAGGATTTCCATTAAGATAAAAGTATGTCAGGTGGTACTACCTTGAGTCACATTGTCCGTTGTGTCAGACACATGCATAGATAATATTATCCTGCAGTTATCTGGGATATGATGTGATTAACATGGAGCTGTAGACTCTGGGGGCAAGTATGCATCCTTTTTCTTATTACTGAGAGCCATGATTTTATTTCTGCAAACAGGTAAGTGTGTCTAAAAGGTCATGGAGTGTTAGATCCCAGTCAGTAAGATGAATGCAATGAGGGCTCTTTGGCCAAGATGGAGTCTTGGCCAAAAAGTGAACATGATTCTCAAGGAATGCATGAGCATGGTGGTCAGGAGGTGGAATAATGGCTACCAGATCTTCTGGCTAGTATGTCATCATGTATCGTGTTATGAACAAATTGTCTTTCATTTCTGGATCGCTACACATTTTATTTAAAATGAAGACACTGAACTA